TATGCTTGACAGCCTCAGTGATGCATGTTAATGAAGAGCTGTCATCCCTCAGATGTTAAAATTGTCCAGATTAGTTCATCTCTGTGTTTATTTAGGATTCTAGATGATAACCGGCTCTACATGTTTGCAGTACATTTAAGATACTCATCAAATTAAGTATTATTCTTCTTAGACAGTCTTTTTTAGATGATGAATCTTTTCATTGAGAATCAACGGAAGCCATGCCTGTTTTAATCATTGATCTCTTACCAGTGAATCACTATGGTCGGCTGTCTTAATACACTCACGCTAGTCTGCTCCTTAGCTGCTTCGCCTAATGGCATTCTGCTACAGATGCAGATTCATTGTAATATTTGCTGCATTGTGGGGCCATTTAACATGTTTTACAACCAGCGTATCTTTCCCAGTAGATCGTCTTTTCCTCCAGTGTTCATTCTGCGGAAAAAGTGAAGAAAGACAAAGAGCAGTCTGTTTATTGTATATAGCTAAAGCTGTTCATTTTATGTATATTTTCATTATATACATATTGAATGTTCTTTGGATTGATGTTCATTAAATTGCACGTTACTCATAGCACTGTGAGTCATTGTGCCCATAACATGGAATCATCATCCGTGAATGGACACTGAACAGCGGTGTTCGTATGTATGCTATATTATTGTGCTGCCCAGGTGGAAAATGTGCAGCAAATCGCTTCAATGTTTGGGCCGATGTTACAGCATGTGAAAAGGTATATAATGGACTGTTAAAGGCTAAAAGCTTTCGGCACAGCATTGGACATGTAGGAATGAGATACGTATCCTTTCCACACTCACATTCCAGCAACAGCTATTAAGATTTTTCCTAGCGTTTGTTAAATGGAAGCACAATCATTTGTCCGACATACAAGTCACGCGACACCTGAGGTGAGGATGTCGACTTGAGAAATAATTCTTAATTGAGGTGTGTATAGTGCTGACACGATCATGCGTCGAGGGTTGGATATGGTTATTACATTGCTGAGTTTAAGGAATTGTTAATCTCAGCTGTTTATTCTGAGAAAGATCTATTTTTGTATGAATTATAAAAATTACATCTACTAAAGAACGAGCACAAATATTGGAGAAAATCATATTTTTTAGGCATGTCCATCTTAACATAGCTTACAGTTCTGTCTTAGAGCTTGTTGGAATTTTAGCCACAAAGCTAATATTTAGGTGCAGTAGATTAACAAGCATGAAGACCCAGACCGATGTGGCAAATAGCCGATTTATAACCAAAAATATGACACCATTGGTATCCTTTACCGAGTCACGGAAAACTAGCGAGGTTGTCGATTGTATCACTTTGATGGTAAGGAGCACAGTGTTTGTAAGCAAGTGTGCTATTGGCCGGTCAGCCCAGCGCGAATCTCTAGTTCCTCTAGCAGCACAGCTTAGTTAGTGTCACGGTATATACCTCAATATTCCGTAAACACACAGTCCAGCTGTCTCACAGGAGTCACCGAGCGATTTTCTTAGACAAAGCCTTACATACTGTGGTAATGGACACCCCCGAGTGAGCTGACTAGAACATTGGATTAAATGGTTCACCTCTTTAAGACCTAAGTTCCCCTGACACTTTTAAAATGTAGCCCAACAGCTCCTAAATTGAACAATGTGTTGTATGTATCTCCACCTGCTGGTCCCACCACGCATGCTATGATGTTACAACCAACGACGACGATAAATGCACCTATCCCTCAAGTCCGAAGATCCATAATATGAGAACGTATTGCTCCTACATTGAATGACACCCCTCAGATCTTTTAGCTCCCTCTCTACAGCATTAAATTTTAAGTTTACATTTCAAAAAAACATGTTAAAGTACTGAGATGAAAATATTTTTACCAATGAATTTTACTTCTCCACTTTCTGCAGTGTGTAACGTGTACTTCCAGTGTATCAGTACACAGGACATCACTGTGGTGGTGTGATTAAAACTGCCACACTCGAAAATTACAGAGAATCACTGCTTTTCAGGGCTATATTAGGTTTACTCTTTAAAGGCCTCAGTCATCATAATTAGTCTAGAAAGATATATTCATCAGTTTATTCTGTGTAACATTTACAAATCCAAAGCCAATCAACTGAAGTGTTACTGTTTTATGACGTTGAAAGGAGCCCTGAATGAGGGATAACTGCAACTGTGATAACTGTTTTTACAATGAGAGAAATGGAAAGCACCCTAAACCTGACAAATAAATTCAAGGTAGAAGAAGGTAAAATTGATCCATGTGTGCTGTAATGTGGTTTTGTAATATCATTTTAATGTGTTTGAGTAGTTAAAATTATTGGAAGATTTTCCATTGATTGCCCCATCAACAGTCTTGTGATATTTACAGCCAATATTTTCATGAATTTTTACTATTTTCAGTTCATTTTTGTTTCAGTTGCTCCCTTTATTATTATTTTATATATATATATATATATATATACTATATCATAATATATAATATATATATATATATATACTGTATATTGTATTACTGACTGCTGGGCTACTGCACACTGACCACTACATAGTTGGATGCATTATTGGTTATACAGATTTTTAAATTAGCAATATTATATTATTATAAGTATTTTTTTGTAGTGAGTAATTTCAAAAACGTAAATTTCCAAAATCGACATGGTTTTGGTGTCTTTGTTGTAACTTTTCTATTCAAATGGCACCAGCAGCATTTGTTTTGTGGTAATCTGTCTGTTATACCAACTGTTATGTCATATTGATGAAGTTTTTGTAATGTTTCTTTCAAAATAGGGGGAAATTAAATCAAACCAAACCAAATCTGCACTAATTTCATGTAGCAATGATTCTCTGAGCTGAAACATGCAGAAGCATCACTGTGGCATGTTCTAAACTTTCTTCACTTCATCTCGAAATAAACCCGTCTCAGGAGAGCAGCAGACGCTCGCTGTCTTTCTCTGATTCTGTGTTCAAACCGTCACTGAAAACATTTGTTTCTGGCTAAATGAGCAGGCGTGTGTCCAGGCTGCTCCAAAGGCTAATTAAAAGCTCATCACCAAACAAACCAAACGGCACTGAAATGGCTCTCGCGTGAAGCTCCACCATTGTGTTGGAGTTATTTATTGCACGGGAAGCAGAGCAAAGAAAGTGCGTGCGGCGTTTCAGTGCGTCGGCGCGCCGGCACATTTGGCACCAGCGTAGCTTAAAGTTTTGTTTTAGCAGATGGCGCTTTGGCTCATTGTTTGGCAACGAGGATCTTTAAAAAATTCAAACCTGTAAGCTGGCAATGTAGCAATGGTTGCAGCAACGGGCAGTTAAATCAAGTCTAGTTAAATGTTTCTGGGCAGAGGAAGTTAAAAAAAACATATCTGTTGTATTATTGTATGATTTAGTTTTAATATATTAGTTTGGTTTTTACTTTCTTTGTAAAAAATACAGAAAAATAAAAAGGAGGACAATGAGAATGGGGGAAACTGGTATTTTTTCCATTATATGTTAATCTGTCTACTTTTTTTTTTTAAAGCATTTAGTCAACAAGATGTCAGAAAATAATGAAAAATTAAAAATGTTTTGATTTCCCGAATATGATGTCTTACAATTGCTTTTAGACAACTGTCTAAAAATAAAATAAAAATAATTTATAAAAAAGAAAAAGAGCACATTCTCACATTTTAGATGCTGGGAACTAGCATTTTTGCTGTTAAATTACTTCATTGTTGGCATTTCTGTCTGTATTTTAAATGTTTCTCTTAGTAATTATAAGCGTTAAAGAATTAAATGTACCTTGTATTTAATCTTTACATGAATTACTTCTTGTTTGCCCTCTGGGAGGTCATTTTAAACACGTTTTGTCTAATGGTTTGAATAGTGAAACTACCAGAGCTGCACACATTTTAAAAATGATTACCATCTTTGGTTGGGAGTGAAACTTCAAATGTGGCAGCAATTTCCTCCACCTGAGGAGTGAGTCATGACTGTGACGTCCGTCTTGTTATTTTTACTCAGACAGCACAGCGTGTCCTGTCACCTTACCTCCACCTTGACCCGGTTGTCTCCATAACACAGGTGCTGCAGGTAGGCGGCGGCGTTGGCCTGGACAGAGGGGAAGTGATGCTGCAGCATGTGGATGACCTCTGGCAGCTCGGGGTCACGCCAAGCAAACTCCCTGAGGAAACAACGAAGAGAAAACTTTCAGGAGCGTTCATTCACTTTCTGCTTTAACTCTGTTCTTTCCAAAACTTAAAGCTGAAGTCATTTGAGATACATTTTTAGTCTCTTTCTTCAGCATCACATGATATGTTTGTTTTCGCTGCTTCACATTCTGTGGATGGTGGTTGATCCATCCCTTTAGTCCAGACTGAAATATCTCAACAAATACCAAACTAATTAGCATGAAATTTAATTCATGTTCCCCTCAGGATCAACTGTAATCACATTGGTCATCCTTTTACTTTTCATCTAGCGTCATCATCAGGTCAACGTTTAAATCTGTTATCTATAAAACTTATAATATTCTCATCAACCCCAGCTGTACTTTGTGATTAGTGCTAATTTGTGTATGTTAACATGGTAAACATTATGCCTGCATTGTCACTGTGATTATACCAGCATGCTCATGTTAGCATTTAGCTCAAAGCGCACAGTGCACCTAGAATGGCTGTAGACTCTCCTATGGGTCTCTACGTTCACACTGCAGGCACAAGTAGTCCACGTGTACCTCACACGAAATTCTTTTGAATTCTGACATGTGGTCCAAATTAAACAAAGGTGCCGAACTCATGGGACTTTTATGTCACCATAGACCATGACCTGTTTACACTGGAATCAAAAAAACAAACAAAACAAAAAATCAGATCCGAGTAAATTGAATAAATCAGATCTGAGCACAAAGGCTTGCAGTGGGAACGTAGCATTCGTCTTGTTTCAACATGGCAGGCTTTTGATTGATTTATCCTGATTATACATACCTTTCTGCCAATAGATCCTCCTAAATGTTACACACTGGAATATTTATTCAACGAGTAAGCAAACGAGTAAGCAAACAACACTGAAAATCTGACCAAGCATTCAACGGTACTTCTGGTACTTGACAGCTTTCAAAACTCAATTATAAAGATAGATTTTGCTCTGCATTCAAAACAGTTATGTAACATCGACAGTGTCCAAACCATATCTGTGATATTTGTACAAGATAAACATTTATGCACAGACATGGATATAAATAAGGTTTCATTTCAAAGTGCTCTGTATTGATTTCAGTGAAAACCCATCTCAGTTTGTCAAATAACGGATATCTAATTATATCTGCGTGTGTGTGTGTGAGTACCTGGGGTCCTTATGGATGCTCTCGATGGACGGCGTGCGCGTGGCCACCCGGTCCATCAGTCCAGAGTGGCGGTGGGAGAAGACGGGCTCGCCGGGAACCCTGTAGGAGTCGACGTACAGAGCTGCAGTGCTCAGCCCGTAGCTGCTTCTTTGGTACGGCAGCGTGCCGCAGTGGCTTGTGGTCCGAGGGAGCGTCCCCATACCTGTGGAAAGGAGATGAGGATGCTTAAGGAAAACGTGATTTGGAAATTAATCTAACCCAGGTTTTCTTTTCAAGGCAGTTTGTACACATGGAAAATACATCCAAGGTCACATAAAGGGAGAGCAGACATTTAAAAAGCAGCGAGCTGTCTCACAGGCCACAGACCTGTATAAATCTTGACTAAACGAAACTAAAATGGCTCCTTAGATCCCCCACTATCAAGCTCCACAGAGCTTTCAGCTCTAAATCATTCTGCAAAGGCTTCAATTAAGCAGCAGCGGAGTACATGAAAGGTTTCAGCCTAATTAAGTTCTGACCTCGGGGAGCGATAATAACAACAGTTCCTGTGCCTGTAAACTCTGATTTCCAGCACAGATTTTAGAGAAATAATCTTCTGAGCAGATGTGAAACTGAGCCTGGGATGCTGATGTGAAAAATACTTCGAGTCATTTTCAGTGACAATGATAAAGCGGCTAAAAGTCATGTGAGGGTATCTGAGTTATGTTTTGGAAGATCACTGTTATTTATTCTGTTTTCACCACAATCCTTACTACAACTCCTGCTCTGCCACTAGTACTTCTATAAGTATTTGTGCTGAATGTGTCCAGATTTTTGGTACTTAGTTTGCTTCTTTGCTCCGAATCAGCCAGAGTTTCTGGTTTTGCTAGAAAGTATGGACCAATACTAACAATTTCCCCCCCAAAAATATATTTTAATCTGAATTTTTGTTATCATAAAATCTGTTTTTATTGTTTAAATGTTGCCGACTGTCACTCCACTGATCTCAAATTAAAAATTCCCAGGTTATGAACTAAAATGTTAACAATTTTAAGGCCTGAATTCCCAAATGAAACCACACAGTTGATGTATATATTCTAATTAGCTAATTGTAAAGAAAACTTTTGTGGGGCTGCATTACCTGTGTTAGTCCTGTAGAGGGAGCCCTGGGGGTCGTGGGTGGGGCTGTGGTACAAGGGGCTGTGGAAGGAGCGTTCATCAAAAACAGGCGTCATGTGACAGTCTGGAGACAACGCTGCCCTCAGCTCTGGATCTATCTGCCCCCCGTGACCGGCGTATGAGCTGTGGAGCCCTGCAGGTACACAAATAAAGACAAATAAACTTCATTTATTTACACAAACTTACAATTTATGATCGTAAGAACATTCAAAAATGTGGCTTTTCTGATATTTTTAGGAACAATGACTTGTGGTCATCAAATTAGTAATGCTTAAAGGTCCAGTGTGTAACTGTATGTTGCAAACATGGATAAGATAAGAAACAGTTAAGTAAAATTGTCTATAAACCGTCTGTTTGGTTCTCTTATAATGACCAATTACAAACATAAGGGGTCTGTCTAATGCCCAAAACATGTGAACTAAGCAAAAGAGAAACTACATAAAAACATTTATCATAGTGGAAGTTTTTGGGTCAGAAGAAAATTTAATAAAAGTGCAAGAAACACAAACTGTTCAGAAGCTATTTACAGAACAAAACATGTCATTAATTAGTTGAAGTATGTCCTGACACCGTTTCATTTTCATATTCTTACAAGCTAGTAACATATACAGAGATCATTTCAGTTAAAATAATTGCACTATAAAATGTTTCTACAGGCACACGAATGATGAAATTATAATAACAAGCTGTGTAATATCAGTAACGCCTGTTTCGGCCTGTTGTAGTCTTACATAAATCATATGTACAGCTCATTATTTGGCTCACACATCAGTCATCTGTAGGTGAGGCCATGCAAATCGAGATTATACCAAACACTGCAATTTCATAACACCAACTCATCCCCACTGCTTATAAAAACGCACGAAGACTCTGGTCACTCAGAATCTGCTGCAGGCACCGTCATCAGCAAGTCAAACAAGCAGAGCAGAGGGTTTTTCCATCCTCCAATCTCAGAGCAGATCAGTTCAAAGAGCGCTCCAATTATAAAGAGGCTTTGGGGCACGAGAGGGGCAGCCTCGGTGGAGCAGTCCAACAGCTGAAGCACACAATTTGCACTCAGAGCCGGCAATGAAGAAGCTATTTGCTTCTGCAGCTCTCATCTCTTGATTTATATAAATTTCTAAGCGAGTAAGGCGGAAAACCTTGGTCTCTAATCGCAAAGAACATTCCTTTGAAAGAAAATAAAACTGTGCACAATGTTGTTGAATCTGGACCTCAGTGTCTTTCTCAAGGGCTCTTCAGCAGTGAAGTAAACACACCAAAACTGTGACCTTTGGGTGAGAGGATGCTCAAATGCCTGAAATGCGCCAAAACGAAACAGATGGCTGGTTCAAGTGTTATAGATCCAAATCAAGCTCATTCACTATCACTGTGGTTCCCAGTGATTGATTTTAAACGTACAATATGTCGTTTCTGCTGCTAGGAGGTCTGTCACATTAAGACAACCATGTTTAGTCAGCATGGGTTGTTGTTTACCACCATTTCCGTCATCATTAGCTCAGCTTGTTTCTCTGACAACTTAAGATCCAGATGAATCCTTCATCCGGTTGAAATTTAGAGTTAAAAACCAACAAGATCTAAACAGTGGCTGGTAAAAATGTGGCTTAACACTGGATAAAAAGTCAGTTTATGACAGCTTCTGGCTGACAACCACATGCACAAATGCGCCATTGACAGGCGACCGGTGAAACACAGCCTTACCTCAATAAAATTATTTATCTAAGTTTGAACATTGTTATTGTTTATGGACATTTTAATCCGGAAATGTCACATATTATATCTTTAAACTGGATGTTATTTAACACTATTAATTATATCATGAATGTATTAATTATACATTTTTACTGTTTCAATTATAGTTTCATTCAACTAAACTGTCAATGTTGAGGTTGCAACTAACTGAATACCCCTCATCTCACCATCCATTCAGGTCAAACAGTGTTGCTGTATGTCGGCTCACTGGAAAGACTCTGCAGTGGTTCCCAACCTTTTTTTTTTAAGGACCCCTTAAATGAAGTCTCTCTGACTACAACTTGTGTTCAGGTCTTTAAAGTTTAAATCCTGAATAATAATCTTAACTTTAAATGGAAAAATGTTTCTTACACCCCTTACAATCAAGAAGGCCTACTGTGTTAAACTAAATGGAACGGAGTCTTAATTAGTATCATTCATAACACCTGTGTTTACCCTACTATTTCAAGTCTCAAGATTCAAGATTTCTGCTGTGAAAAGGCTTTGACTCCTTTGTTTTGACTCAAAATTTAATACTGAATGCTCACAGTTTGAAACCTCATCCACGCTGGTGACGTTGCAGTTTTTTCAATGAAAAAAAAAAGAATAATAAGAGATCATCTCACAGCTTACGTTTGTGTTTTGGCTGCTCACCAGGTTTTACTACCTAAGCTATGAGTGCAACTGATCAGTAATAGCCTAATCTTGTATATCCATCTATTGCTTATCTCCCTCATGTAATCTGGGATTATGTTGGATCTGCAGGATAACTGGGAATAAGGACTTAGGCGACATATTAGGCCACTCAGTAGCGCTGCAGGATGAAAATCAGTCAGCTATAGAATATAGGAGGCATTTTATTTAGTTCACCGACTGCTTCCCACACACGACCGATGCTTCTATCATCCTCTGTTCACACATGCACAAACACAACGAAGGCCCAACACAATAGGTGCAGGAATGCATGTGCACATCACTGACGTCCACACAAGCACTCATACTGATGCACGCGCAAATGCAGAAAACGCACATGGACACGCGTCATATGAAAACAGGCACGCGCTGATCGTAGCATGATAAAGCCTTCTGGTGCCGTCAGCTGATAATCACATGCTGACGCTCCACGGGGGCTTTGTGATAGAAACACCCCTATATGGGTCAGTGGGAGCGGCTTAGTTACAGAGGGCAGGATGGAGGAATAAATCTGTGTTGCTGCAGCATCAGCGGCGCCTCTATGACAGCAAATCCTCCAAACACATCAGTGTGTGATGAGAAAGTGATGAGCAGTTAATAAGAGAGGACCAGCTGCAGTAGGTTTCCAACATTGTTTTGCAGAAGAAAAGTCTTTTAAGACTCTGATAGACAATGTTCAATATATCTGATTTGCAGTATGTTAGTTTGTTTTAGTTTGAAATGTGCTCCTCAAAGGCGCCTGTAAGCCAGACTCAATGAACAGCCTGGCAGCAGTACAGAAATAATCCCTTCTCAGCCAGTTTCTCAGCCAGCCTCAGCTGTCTTAACCAGTCAGAGAAGCACAAAGTCAAAGGTTGGATTTCCAGGGATGAACTTCTCATGCTTATAAAATCATTATGCACTTCAAACTCAGCATTGTTACTACCTTGCTAATATTAGCTGCTTGGAGACTACACAGTGTGAATGTTTAAACAACCCCAAAGTAATGATTGAATGTCAAAACAATTGTCTGAATACATATATGTGTATTTATCGAGCAAAAAGGCCAAACATTAGTCCTGCTTCTACAAGTGAGACTGTTCTTCTTTTCTGTTTTATATTCATAAATTAACAATCTTTAGTTTTTAGACAGTCTTGGACTGTAGGAACACATAATAATCACTTTTTAGGCACTATTGTTTGATCATTTTCAAACAAAACACTTGACCTAATCATTTAACACATTGACTGACAGATTGATCGATAATAGAAATCATCCTAACCCTGAAGAATTTCCCATACCTTGAGACTGAACTGTGTGAAAGTAGCAGCAGTTGCAGCCCTGCTGGTTCTCTGTGGACCTGTTCATTAAGGTGAACTGAATCCACCTGGAGTCCGAGGTGTCTGTCAGTTCCTCGTTAGACAGCAGGAAAGAAAATGAGCAGAGCTGTCCCAGTTCCGTACTGTATGTATGGAGTTATTCTAACCAGGGTTTGGGTATGGCGAACATTCACTGAAAGAGCAAATTAAGGAAGAAAGCAGCGACTCACAGCTGCAAAAACAGCAATAAACTGTCAGGAAGATGGTGCCAAAGCTTGATGTAAAGTTCAGACAACAGGAAATCAATTAAAATACATATTTGACTTACTAATCATGAAGTTTTCATTAATTTATGTATTATTAAGTTTATAAAATATATAAAACAAGATCGGGAGGGTAAAAATGGTATTGAAACATCTCTAATATTAAATGCTAGAATGGAGCCGTATCACATTAATGGACATAACTGGAGGCAGAAGGAGGAAGTTTGTGGGAACATTCCTCTTTAATTGTTAAGTTGGAAAAAGTTAGAAATTAATAAATGCCTCAAAGTTATGAATATGCAAGTCAATGTTGGGCTAGTTACTCAAAGAAAATGTAATTTATTACATAACTTTACTTATTACTCCCTGAAACAGTAGTTAGTTACACTTCTAGTTTCATTACTTTTCTGCTACTCCTCACAAAGTTGATAATTGTGTCCTTTCTCCCCAAAATTCAGACTACTGACAGTAAAAAAAACAACTTACGACAATTCAAATCAGAGATTTTCAAGATTAAAGTAATGGAATATTTCCAGCTGCTGAATGTTTCCAGCTGCTGAATGTTTCCAGCTTCCAAACTAGTTTCCTCCACGATTACAAAAATGAAGCCAAGGACGTGATTGGATTGTTGGAATTCAAATTAGTAGGGGAGTGCAAAAGTACAAACAAAAGTACCGGCACTTCAGATTTTTGTCCATGAGTACCCTTACTTCTTTGTAAGCTCTGGTGAACATGGCCATACCCACCATGGAGGTCAACAGTAATTTTTCCAAGGGGTACACAATAAATGTTGTGAAATAAAAATAACTACTTTGATACTTTGAAGCCCCAAATCTCCCCTAGCAAGTTCAGTTTTTG